CTGAGGCAAAGTGGCGACTTTGATTATACTCAATCATGTATCACGCATTCAGTTTATTCACTGAAATATATATTGTTAAATTTGATAAGGGCTATTTAAAATGTGAAATTAATAGGATGAATATGTTGGTTGATTCTGGGGCACATGTGGTTCTCTTGATTTAAGTTACTTGTCTGGAAGCCTTCCTTAATTTACTCAAATTGTGGGATTCATGTTGAAAAATCCTGCTGCTCTGGAGACTGGAATGATGTTGCTGCTGCTGAAAATTTTATCTAATATATTAAAACTGTCATCTATTGTTTCTGAAATTATCCTTCAACATAATTTGGAACAGTTAAGAGGAAATGTATAATTTGAATAGAATCATACTTATTAGGATGTCTTTGCTTTTAGGTGAGGTGCAATTCCTACAGACCAGAAGCTGCCAGAGAACAAGTCCAGATTGGTGCTCACAGTCCTCCACAATTTAGGTAAATGAGCAAATGGGTGGCACCAGGTTTTACCACACATCTCCCCATCCTGCCACCCAGTCATCCCAGATAGGTTGTGTGAACAAAAGCCTAAACAGAAAACTGTATAATCTCTATTTTGGAGAAAAGAGAATCTAGTTAAACAGAAATTAAGCATCTCTTATTTCCTTAGTAGTAAGCTGGTCTTCTCAATGTCTTTTCAACTAAATTTCTGTGGGAGGGGGGAACTTGTGCATATCGCTATCTAGTGTTACATCAAGAAATCACTGAGACTCCAAAAGTAATTGTAATCCAAATGACACTTATAGTATTAGATTCCAGATATAGAATTATAATTACTTTTAGAAGGTAGCAATATATGGTTGTCATGAGTGGGGTGGATGCTCAGTAAATGGGATATTGAATTGATCCAACCATCTATGTTGTCAGGAAGTTTAGAAATACAAACCCCAAATGCATTTTATTGTCTCATAAGAGGATGTGATCTGATGTACTATTCTTTTTTAAAACATTTAGAGCTCTTGCTTACTCTGGTCTATTTTCTGTTCAAGAATATCCTATATAGATGTGTCACTTAGGGGTAGGAAATTCACAGACAATCCCTGTGTGTGACCAATTGTGGAACTCTATAATAATTTCCATCTGTTGCAAAAGAAACTTCTTTGTTGGTGAGGTGAGTGGTAACTGGCATACTTGTCTGTAAATATAAGGATCCATATTTAGCACATAGTAAGAAATTACATTTGTCTAGGGATGTGACAGCCTTGGGGTTTTCTCTAAGATCTGTGACCACCCCAGCCATGTGTTTTTGGCTATGTTCACAGTACCACACATGAGTACCCTCTCATTGAGTGCACTTTAAGTCAAATTAGGTAGCTGCTGATAACCCCCAAGATAAAAGTGCCACTACTGAACCAATATAGTTTGCTGTGCTGGTCACTGTTGTCAGCATGCACCAGACTAATGCAAACTCAAGCAGACAAAAAAACCAGTATAGAACTGTGGAAATAGGCAGCAGGCCCCAATCTTAGCTGAAGAACTATTGGCAGCTGATTACTGCTGAGTGAGGAAGAGCTGGTCTTCTTAAAGGGAGGGACTCTAGATAGGTTGAGTAGACCTCAGTGGATGAACTTTCACTAAGGGACATCTGGGAACACTAACTTGACAGGCCTTAACAAAAATCACAGAATGCGTGAAATCCAGTGGGGGGAGGCCTCTGGGAGGGTGCCAACAGGGAAGGGGGTATAAAGATAATTAAGATGTCTTTTATGAGATATACAAAATTTCATTAAACATTACAAAAATAATATTCTATATAATATCTCTTGTTTTTTTTCCCATACAATTAACCAACAAACATCAACAAATGCCCCTTTTCTCAGTAATTCTGAACATAAAGATATATGATGATCTTTAGCAATTATAATTTGCACCTAGAGTGAGAGATGTTACATTTTGGCTATTGTCTTCCATCACCTTCTGAAACAATTGCTTGTATATGAAGGGAGAAAGATTAACAACCATAATTGTCAGCAAGTAAAAAATAATAAATGGAAACAAAATTAAGGCTGATATTACTTACCCTATGCTAGGTCCAATGGCTTGAGAGAAATTTCCTACAGTAGAAGACAGTTAATTATACAGGGAAATTGAAGGCGCCATAATAATTCATAGTTATTCTTTGCTTAGAACATATTATACCTGGATATCTTTACATCTAATATTTAAATGAATCCATTAGCATATCACAGGAAAGTCATCTAAAATTTCCTCTATATTTAAAAATCTTATTCCTCATGCCTTGCCTTACAAATGCTTCAAAAATTGACTATAAATTACCCACTAGCATAAAAATCTAATCACTGTGTTGGAAATTCTCCCCTACTGGGCTGAGCTGTCATGAAGGCTGACAGTTTCTAATGGACTAAAATGTGCTCCCACTGACAAATGGTGCAGATGAAACTACATAGTAGATTAATTCCTCAACAGATAAGTTTTGGAAACTAATTTCCTTTTACTAACTAGTTGTTGTAATGCTGGATTTTTTTGTTCATAATTTACAGAGTATGCCTACTGATTATCAGCTATATTCTATCTTTAACAGTTGCCTAGGGTGACTCACACTATGAACTATGCATCCTTACCAATACACCCCAGCTAAACACAAGAGGTTATGAGGATTTATTGGATATGGGCCATTACATTCATTCAAATGCCTGGAGGTAACAAAGTCTTTAAGGAAGAAATAGTGACTGAGACTGCTGAGTTTCTAGTCAACCCTTTGAATGTTCAGTTGAGTAAGAAGTAGATGCGGGTGGGGGGGAGTTTTTTGCCTGACTTGTTACTGATGTCTGCAGTAAGTATAGATTTTGAGTGCAAAGAAAATCACACAGTGGAAATACCCCTTCCAAAAGGAAGTTACAATCAAAGTGCTGAGTAGGAATCTACAGTCTTCACTGTGGTCAGGAACTTGAGAGTACACCAGATTCTGGAGCTAGAATCCAGTGCAGAATGACTAATCTGTAGTGGCTAGATGCTGTTCATTAGTTGATTGTTACATTAGCAAATTCTAAGTAGATGCAAACCCACAAATTAATAGGAATTTAGAGAATGTAGTTCTTAAAAACTTTCTTTTTATTTTTAAATGAATATTTTTATTGAGTTTTGTGCATTTCATACAAGAAATCTTAATCATATTTAGATACTCTTCCCTTGTGCCACCCCCTATACACCACCATCAGATCTTATATATGTTAAGGCCTATCTGGTCAAGCTTTTGTAACAAGCTGTCCCTTAGTGCAAGTTCATCTACTGGAGTCTAGTTAATCATTTAGAGTCACTACCTTAAAGAGGGTCAACTCTCCCCCACCCAGCAGTAATAAGTTACCAGGAGTTCCTTGGCTAATGTTGGAGCCTGCTGCCCATTTCCTTTGTTCTATGCTGAATTTTTGTCTGATTGAGTTAGCATGGGCATTGTGCATGCTGTCACCATTGCTGTACATTCATATGAGCAAGTTCCCAGAGGCCCAAAAGCCTCTATTTCCTTATGTTCATGCACCAGCCTGGCTCTTATGATCTTTCTGCCCTCTTCTGCAATGTTTTCTGAGCCATGGGTGGGCCAGGTTTAATGTAGGAGACTATTACAGAGTTCTACAACTGGTTACATACAGAGACTATGTGTCTGAGAGATGCCCAGCCTTAAGTGACACATATACAGTAGAACCTCTACATCTAAGGTTCATGGAACACAGCAGAACAGGGGGTAGAGAAAATACTAATACATCCCTCAACTCTTACCAGTGAAGCTTCATCATACAACAGAGTGTGATGCACACAGAAAGCCACAATTGGCCAAGGTATAGAGAATAAGCGACTATAGAGTGTGTTTCCCTGGAGAATGTAGTTTTGTAGATTGAATGAACTGGTGAAAACTAATTGAAAACAGAGCATCAGGGATGATTTTTTCAATATTATCCTGAGCGAAAGAAGCCAAAGGCAAAAGAGTAGACAGTGCATTCCACTCATGTCAAGTTCTAAACAAAGTAATACTATGGTGATAGATATCACAGTAGTGGTTTATTTCTCTTTGTTTTGGAGGTATTATTAGTAAGGGAGATGAAAGAACCTTCAGAAATATCCTGTCTTGATCAGAATGGTAGTAACATAGGCATACATGAAAAAAAAAACAGTGGTGTCTACATTTCAGATTCCTATACTTTATGTCAGTTGTGCCTTCAACCTAAAGTAATTTTTAAAAAGTTTTTTTTTTAATTTTGTTTCATTAAAAAAATATTTTTATTTATTATTTTTATTTTATGGCATGAGTGTATTGCCTGCTTGTATGGAAGTGCACCTGTGTAGTGCAAAGCCCACAGAGGCCAGAAGAGGGCATCAGATCTTCTGGAAACGGAGTTATCTACGGGGGTTAGCCACCATGTGGATCCTGGAACTTGAACCTGGGTCCTCTGCAAGAGCAGCAATATTCTTAACCACGAAGCAATCTCTCCAGCCCTTATTTTACTTCATTTTTAATGTGTCTGAGTGTTATGCTTAAGTATGAGTGCATGTGTGCCATGTAGTGCCTGTGGAGGCCAGAAAAGGGTGTTGGATCCCCTGGAACTGGAGTCATGGACAGTTGTTAGCCCTTATGTGGGTGCTGGGATTTGAACCCAGGTCTTCTGCAAGAGCAGCCAATGCTTTTAACTGATTTGTCATCTCTCCGTCTCCTGTAAAAAATAATTTTAAAAAAATTAGAAAAATGATGTCTTGGAGATGATAGTACTATAGCAATTTAAAGATTCTGGGAAGAATACTAGGAATATTTCTTTGCCTGACTTTGAGGAAATGTTGGTTTTCAGTCTCAGTGACATTAATTTCTTTGGAAATTTACTTGATTATTTGGGCTTTAGTTGTCTTCCATGTAAACAGATCACAGGAACACAAAGCTCCCTTTCTAGCAATGTACTATTTTATCTAGAATCTGTTGATGTGTATGGATTAAATAACGTATACTTTGCCATATTTTTTCAGGGTCAATGGTGCCATTAGCAACTTTGAAGAATTCCAGAAAGCTTTTAACTGCCCACTGAATTCTACTATGAACAGAGGCAAGGATTCCTGCCGGCTGTGGTAGCTGGAGTGCTGTTTTCTGCTGTCCTGGCAGAGCAGACCAATGCCAGGGGAGATGGACTAAACATTCATCACCTGCTGCTTTAGGCCTAAATTTTCTTGAGGACTTTTATTTTTAATGCATTTCCATTATTTGGGTAGATGACTTGCTTGGATCTAAACAGTTTCTGTTCAAAGTCATAGGGCTTAAAAAGGAACACAAGAAATGAACCAAGTATGTTTCTTTAGAAAGTCAAGCCAAGAAGAACAAATCCCTAGGGCTACTTTGGTAAACCACTCCTGGCTGACATTACTATTATCCATTTTAATGGGTTAGCCACAACTAGGTGGTTGGTATACAGCATTTCAATCTATAGCTTTGCAGGGGACCTGAGTAGAGTTTATCCATAGAAAGGTTCAGTCTAGGAAAGTGGTCATCTTCAAGGATGAAAACGTGTATGTGCGTGCCTTCAAAGGTCTTGTAGCTCTGTGAAATGCAGTTCTGGATTTCACAGACAATCATTATGCAGCATTTCTTAACTCTAAGGTACTTATATTAGAAATTTATTGGATCTTCATTTTGTAATTTTTGATGAAGTTTTTCCCTTCAATTTTGGAGTCTATTGAAATGAAAATGTTCCTCAGAACTTACACCTGATATAACTAACTTCTCTGTTTTAGTCAGCATGAACAAACATGGCAGAAAGCCTACTGTGCAAATGATTTGAGTTTATCAAGCAGGAAAAATAATGAATCTTTAAATGCCAAAAGTATTAAAAAAAATAGTCACACTAGGAAATAAAATCTGCAGAATTTTTTCTAGTCCCTATGAACTCCAATGATTATCTGTCTACTGGACACCACTCATGAGCCAGTTCCTGTTTGCTTCATTATGCTTATATGTGTGTAGCTTCTAAGTCCAAAGTGAACAGGCAATGAGAGGCGAATTTTCTGATTCCCCATCAGGAACATATGGCTTTCGTTTCCATTTAGCACAAAGATAGAAACATAATGTAGAAGAGGGAGTAAAATGCCCTTCCATTTCAGTCCAGTTCATGTAATTTCTTTTTAAAGAAAACCCCTTTCAAAAGCTTCTTAAATGAAGACATGTTAGTATATATTTATTCAATTTAAAATATCCTGCATAGACCTTAGAAACAATTTTATACTTCAGGTCTTAAGAAGAGTCTGTAAGAAAAAAAGCAGTACTGTATTGTGATCCTTAGACTGTTATCCTTTTAATTAACACCTTTGTCTTTTAGTGTGTGTATATGTAGGATAATATTATAATGGCATTAAAGTGGCTACTTGGTATTTCCCATTTATTCATATAGACATGCCCCTGCCCCCATCACATTATTCATTGTACATGAGGTGCTGAGTTAAGTGGGCCAATAGAAAAATCTCAAAAGCAAAATGACAAATTCAGATGAACCACAGGAGGTCATTGTGCATCCTTGTGACTTGTCATCATTTAAAAAAAAAAATAAGTGTGAACTATGTCCTTTTGTAACCATGGGAACTTCCAAAGGGAGAAAAATGGAAGGGTACCATCCTGAGGAAAACAATTATCCTGCATTAGTCTGAGGAGAGTGATTTTCCCCTTGACTTCCTCCTCTCTGAATGGATACACTTCTGAAGGGCAGCTGCCTTTTCCTCCTTTTTACCATGGTTTAAATGTGACCTTGGTTTGTATTTCTAAAAACAAACAGTATTATGTCACGTGTTAGAAATATATGGGCCTTTTCTCTGAAGTAAGATTCTGATTTGATTTAGACATGTAAAATAATCTTTGTTTTATTCCTGTACTTGGGCACTTAAACGTAGCTGAGGTTTGTCATACTTATATGAATACTCTACTCCTTCTAGATTCTTTTAAACAAAATTCCAAATAAACACATTCCTGCAGGTCAGAGAAAGTGTTTGATAAAATGATAAAATCATGACTTTGGAAATGGTGTTGTTATTAGTTGGTTCAGGTCAACTGGTTGGTGATCAGTAGGGACTCTTGCAATTTCTAGATGGCTGGACTAGTCCTGAGTAACTTCATGCAACTTAGATTTATATTGAAATGTTTTTTTAAACCAAATGTAGCAATTAGAAATCACTCCTAGGTGGTATACATATTTTCTAGAAGCATTAGTTTTCTAAATACTTCCGTTTAACCCTTCAAATTACAGTCTTGTCCTTTGTGATGCAGATTCTTAAAGAAACAGACACTGATTAAGTAGTGGAGGGGAATATCAGATGCAGTTGGAGAGACAAGAAAAGTAGGGAGAGGCTGGCTTAAGGATATGGCTCTGAAAATAAGACAGGATTTTGGCGATCTTTGCTAAATATATCCACTGGAGGAGAGCCATACAGTTTTACAAAAATATAGTAAATTGAAAGGAAATTAGATATTGGATCTCCGAATAGGTCTGCAATAATACACTTTTCTGACTCGTATACCAGCTGTTCTGCCAGTGAGCTTTTATCTGGGCATTGGAAGGAGTTGGTATTTGTGTGTGTGTGAAATTCTCCTGGGTTAGTCAAGCATTCTGTATATTTAAAGTGGTATTGTTTGGCCTTACCACTATTTCTCAAAGTTTGTAGCGTTTTTCACCAAGTGCTTGGCATTGGCCTCCTATTTCCATCTTTTTTCCTTTTTATGAGATGGACTGGAACATGACTAATATAAGCTCAGGATTCGTAAATTATCCTGAAGTTTATTTAGTGCCTTGCCTCAATGGAGCTTAAAGCATAGCACATAAATTTTATCTTATTTAGCCCTGGAGCCTCACTAAGAAGAAACTAGGAACTTTGCCTTGCCAGACAGGCTGTTCTCATGCTAGAGAAATAGAAAGGCTTAACATCACTTGTCAAATATCTCAGAGTCAGGAAAGAGTGTCTTTGTGCTTTGGGCTACTGACTTTAGGATTAACCTACATCTCTTGGATTACCTGCTCTGCTAACACATTTATTCAAAAGTATTTCTATAATCACTTAGTATTTGATAGCATTCTTCTTTGATATTTTTATCATAATTCCTCAGTTGCATCTTAACTTATGGAAGAATATATTTGTTTCACACAATAACATCTTTATTATCAGTGCCCTACTGGTTTGAAGAAGGAAGCTCTTGAATTGTGCATTTAAAAACAACTGTAAATGGTCACTATGGAACGAGTTTACATGTGTGTTCTTCCCTTGTGAAACAATGAAAATAATTTTAAAGACAATAAAATGTTGATTGAGGGTTTTTCTGTTTCTCTCCTTTTTTAAAAAAATAAACTATTACAATCTATTATATATGTAGACATTCAGGTCTGTTTTTAAAAATATTTTCTAAACAAGTGTTCAAAATACTGTACTAAACTTCAACTTAGGAAAATAAGTCTTGAATGTAGTAACTTTCTCTGTAGCCAATGGGAGATTTGTAAGGTGGTCATTATATTTTCTTCTAGACTACAAGTCAGCAGATGTGGTTTATTGCTTTTGCAATAATATTCCTGCTGAGGGAAAGAGATGCTTTTGAGGAAATTATCTACGATCATAGGGCTGGTCTCACAAAAGTGACAATGAACATTACATTTGCTATCAAAGCTAAGAATGTTTATGTGCTGTTGCTGTGACGTTAAAAATCCAGTCAGTTTACAGCTATTCATTCAGCACACAGTAACTGAACACCCATTATATTTAAATCACCAAACAGGCTATATTAGGTAAGTAATATACAGTCTTTGGCGTCAGTGAACTGTCTGGCTTAACAGAGGAGATGGATATGTAAATGGTTATAATTACACTACTGAGAGGCATCTGATGATATAGAAGTACATTGGAGTTTGGTTTGGGACACAGGCAATGAACTGTTCAGCTCTCTTGTGGTGGACATTATCAGTGTACCCTCTGCCAAGATCCCAGACAATTTTTTCGACTGGGTGCCCTAACTTGCTTTCTGTGTGCCTTTGTTTCTAAATGGGTATGGATTACTTGAACAGCTACCTTCAGGCTTCTAGACCTTCTTTGTCCAATGCACTTTCAGGGAACTGGAATTGTTTGGTGACCCTGACAATAACTGAGAGGTATAGGATTCTGAAAGTTTGACCACCTTGCCTGAATCCAGACAAATCTATAGGCACACCATACAATTCATACTAATTTCTCAATAGATTCCTGCTGGAGTTAGATTGACAGTACAAGTAGAGTGCCTTGTAGATTATTTTCAATACATTTTTGCTTCTAAGAGCTGGAAAAGTGTTGGTCTACAGGGTCCTAGATCAGTCTATTGTGTAGGAGGTCATAGCATCATGAATGGGAACTATAAATGAGATGCTCTGGAGTTAGTGGGTGATAAACATCTGGGTATGACCTAGTGGGGCCCTTCTTTGAGCGTTTACTCTAGTTTCTGAGTTTCTAGTTTCATGAAATAAGATTTTTTAAAATTTTTATTTACTGTTTTTATTTTATTTTATGTGTATAAGTATATTGCCTGCATATGTTAAGTGTACCCATGTTGTGCAATGCCTGTGGAGGTCAGAAAGGGAGTCAGATCCCCTGGAATTTGAGTTACAGACAGTTGTTAGTAGCCATGTGGGTGCTGGGAATCAAAACTGGGTCCTCTGCAAGAGCAACTTAACTCTTAACTGCTGAGCCATCTCTCCAGCCCCGAAATAAGATTTTTTTTGTGTGTATAGTATTGTGGTTAGAAGGAAAGACGCCTATAAATGACAGAGTTTATCCCAGAATGATCTCTAGGTTATGGGCAGTAAGGAGGGACTTTGGGAGGAATAGAGGCAAGAGGTGGGGAATTACCCTTACTGTGGTCCATGTAACCTGGATTTAAATGCACCCAAGAGATACTGAGTTTGCTTAGATTTTCAGCTAAACCCCTAAGAGGATGTGAAGGAGGTTAATATGCTCAGTTAGGTTTAAGGTCGTTGCATGTCCCTCTACTTCACTTGCTTTCTTTAGTAATTAAAGTCACACTACCTAAAGAATCACACACTCTTAATGGTTCAATTCAATTGAAGTTTATGTCTTTGTTTTTATTACATGCTTAATTGATATTAAGGACCAGTAAACTTTTCTCCTCCAGCTAGTGATTTGATGACCCAGACTCCTTCAATATCTCAACTGCACCATGTTCAATACATGATTCGATATATGCTCATCAGCATGAAGCTAGCAGAAGGGAAGTGACCATGGACAATATTAAGTGGAAGACTGGGGCTGGTCCTGGGTGTGGTCTACCTTACTTCTGCATCTATTCCATTGGTTAAAATTCAGTCATGTAGCTGAACCAATTCTTAGGGGTAGCTGCATCAAGTAGTCTAGCCATGTGCCCAGAAAGAAGAGAAAGTGGGTTGGGTTCTCAACTAGTGTTACCAGCTATATCTTCTAAAGTGAAATCCAGGACAGTAACTTTGAGCTATTCTGATTTTTAGAAAATTGCTTTTGAACACAGCACAATGAAAATCGAAAATGCTATTGGTACCCTGCAGTTTATACTGTAGGAGTATTTTTTTAATTAACAGCTTAATTGGCTAATTTAATCCCCTTTAGAATTGGAAATATGAAAATAAAAATGAGATACTCTTAGTGATCTGTCAATACCATGCTTTAATAAAACTACCAAAGTAAGCCTGGAAATGAACACCACAAAAGCATTACAATAATTTCTGATCAGTGGAAGAAAACCTGATCTATAATTCTAATTATTCCTAAGTAGTTTCAATACATGTTTCATTTGAATGTAGATTTGGTTTTGTTAATTGGATCAATTAAGAATGTAACTGAATATAAACATCTGTGGCTAAGGCATAGATTTGCAATATATTCTAAACCTTTAGAATATGTCCTATTGAGAAAGTGAAATATCCTGTGAAATAAAACATTGTTGAAAGAGTACAACATTTTCCAGCATTTTCAGAAAACATATAAAAATTGTTTTCATTTCTCTAGTGATTATGAGATGAAAAATGCTAGTCACCCTATTCAGATTTTATGTTTCTTCTGTCTGAATAAGACATTAGGACATTGAGACATTAACCACTTAAGAATGAAATGATTTAGACCCCAAGTCCTAGAAAGAAAAGTGAGTGTTCATGTATAGATCACAAAAGTTGTTTTCTAATTAATCCTGAATTAAGACTCTGTTTTCACAGAGAAAGAACTAAATGAGCAGGTAAAATTTCTCAATTTGATGACTGGGAATGTAGTTCAATTGGTAGAGTACTTACTTGCCTAGCATGCATGAAGTCCTAGGTTCCATCCCCAGTACCACATAAACTGGTTGTTGTGGTGACTGCCTGTAATCCTAGCACTCAGGAGGTAGATACAGGAGGATCAGAAGTTTAGAGTTATCTTGCCTATATAGTATGTCAGAGGGTAGCCTGGGCTACATGAGATACTATCTAAACAAAACAAACAAAAGCAACCCCCCAAACTAATTAAAGCTACCTAAAATATTGCATATTATGTACACTGCCAGTTTGACTAAAATGTCATCAAATGTCCTGACATAGTTTACTACTTAGAAAGTACATTGAGTTAATCTCCAAACAGGTTTAGAATCAGTGGAATCAGTACCTAGATAATAGACAACCCTCTTCTTATTCCAATAGCATTTGATGAATAACAAAATTATCCCAGAGTATACTTATCCAAAAATTGGGCATATTCAATGGTTATTTGTTAATGACTTAAAAAAATCTAATAATAATAATGAAAATGACATTTTTTGTTTTGTTTTTTTT